CCGCTCGGTAACCCGCGGCCGCGGCGTGGGGGGGAAACTGAGGCTGGAGAGGCAAAGGGACTGCCCAAGGTCACCTGGCTGTCGGGCATAGCGCTGCGAGGGAAAGCACCCGGCGGGCTGAAGGTCCACGCGGGGTCGGATTTACGCCCTATGTCCCGCTTGGTGACCCGGGTGTGACAAGCCAGTCCGGACCGCGGAGCCGGAGCCCGCGAGTCTCGGAATCACGCAGGTGGATGGGCGGAGCGGGGAGACCTAGTCCACTGAGCCCCGGCGAGCAGAGCCAGGCGCAGGGTGGAGCGCGCGCCCGCGGTGGCCACAGGGACCGAGGCTGAAGGGCAAAGCGGACGGGGCTAGGAGGCACCGGCCTGGACCCTCCACCCCGCCCCGCCCGCTGCCCAGCCGGCCGCCCCTCTCTGGGGCGAGGGCTGATTCGGTGCCCCGAGGTTGGGGTGCTGCCAGCGCGGCAGGAGGTCGGGGCCAGACAGCCAATTCGAGGACAGGGACAGCGCTGCAGAGCCTCTTCGAGCCCCCCGCCCCTCCCCCCCCGTGCCCGGTGCTGAGTGCAGTGCACCAGGCCTGGCGGGTGCCAGAGCAAGGGGCGCACCTCCTCAGGGAACGAAATGTGTGCTATGCCAGCCCGCCTCGCTGTCCTCATGCTGCGCCTGCCACCGCGCTATTTGTGGTAACAAGCGACGAGCGTGAGCTAGGAGGACCTAGCCGGGGAAGGAAACTTCAAACACGCATCCAAGTTACACAGGGGAGCTGGAACCCCGGCCCTACTTGGCCCTTTCACAAGCTTCTCTTAAACTCACGCTTGCTAAATAACCCTGTAACAGTGGTGAACTTTGCCCCACCCTCCAGACTCCCTCATAACCTTCCCAATTGCCCCCCGGCAAGCCCAGCTTTTATTGCTGGCAGTGACTCGCCATCTAGCAGCGTCCAGAGTTTGCACTGAGTTTCAGAGTTTGCAGGAATCCATGGATTGTGGTAAGTGTCAGGGACCTAGCAGCCAGGGAGGCTGACCAGAGGGTGCCCCACTGAGCTTAGGGGCTCCTCTCATGACGTAGCCCGGGCCCCAGGCCTGGTCCTTGGAGCCTGGGTTACATCAGGCCTCCCTTCCCAGGTGGTCAGCCATTGACCTGGTTTAAGAGCTGGAAAGAATAGCAGAAATTATTCTGAACGAGGAGCCAGGCTGTAGGCAGAGCAGTTGTGTGTACTCGCAGACACAGAAAATGATAGATATTCTTGGGTTCGTGAAGCTCCCAAGGTTTTAGGGAGAGAAAATTTGTTCTTTAACCATGTGTCAGGAGAAGAGTCACTTTGGAACAAATTATCTCGGCCGTGGATTGAAGGCAGAAGGAAGCTCAGGACTTTCCTCAGGGAGAATTTAATAAGAAATGGTGCCGGGTTGGCTGCCCCAGGGGACTCTGGGTCTCTCTTGGAAAACTACTTTCAGAAGAGAGAGGTAAAGGACTTTGTTATACCCTCAGCGTGGGAAAAACTGTCACAAAGGGCACCGATGCCTGCTCCGGGAACCTCTCCATCCCTCTTTCCTTTGGTGTGAAGGTGTGGGAGCACACGTTGGAGCAATGACCCTGTGCAGGGACTGAGTAGAAATCCCTGACCCCAGGGACATGTCAGTGTTCTTGGAAACATCTCTGAGTACCTCCTGAGTCTCCTTGGCACGTCAGGACCTCTGTCTTAGCTCCCAGCTCTCTTGCTCTCTGAGACTCCCTTCCTCATTTTGTGACCTAGAAGATGTTCTGAGCTGCTGCAAGATAATTACTATTGTGCCCACATTACAATAAGGCAACCAGCATGGAGAGCCAGGCCCACGCACCAAGCCACTGCTTCGTGCACTTATCTGCCAACACAGCCGGAGCAGGAGACTGGGACATACCGAGGAGGGCAGGGGCCTGGCAGGGGCAATGTGCAGTGCCAGGGCCTTGCCATCCATGCAGACGGCAGGTTAGATGACAACACCAGAAGCAGGCATTTGCAGATGGCTCTGCGTGGAGAGCTTGTGACACTGCCCGCTGGACTGGTCCCTGCCAATGGCGTTCTCCCCTGGGTCTGGGGTCCATTTGGGCCCTGTGTCTGTTTGCCCCGGAACCATCCAATGCCTTCAAGGGTCACTGGTTTCCCTCAGCTGAGCTGCTGAGCCTGCTGGAGGGTTGGAGTTTGTGTCCGGTGGTGTCATCTGCCAGGCAGTGGACTCTGAGACCCTGGAAGCCTGCCCTGGTCAGGTGGTAGAAGTCCGTGGGGCGGGGGCAGGTTTTATTTGCTGACGGCAAATAGAGAGCCACTGGTGGCCTAAGGCTGGACCCCGTGGAGAGCCAACCGTGGGCGTGTACCTGGCTACTGCTCTAGGATGAACATCAAAACCTCACTGGTCCAGGGAAGTTTTCTCATTAAGGCAGGAGACTTGCAGCAACCCTGAAAGGCAGCCCTCTCTAACCTCATTCAGGTGGGGAAACCAAGGCCAGGTCTGATAGCACTTGGCCAGAGGCAAGTGGGAGGCAGCGGGAGCCTCAGTGTTCACACCTACTCTGCAGGGACCCGAGCCACTGCCTGGGGCAGAAGCCACCCACTGGCTCCATGCCTTGCAAGACCATGGTATTCATCATCTGTCCCAGCCCTGGCGCTCCAGGGGGTGGCAGAAGCAGTGTCCAAAGGGCCAGGCTGCAGGGCAGAGATGGGGGAAGCGGACAGGACTCCATCTACAGTAACAGTATAAGAGGCTCGGCAAGCTGTGCTGTCACTGGTGCGGTGGCAGGCAAAGCTGCATGTGCACTGTAGTTCTGTGGGGTCTGCAGGCCCAGACCCTGCTGCTGCCAATGCCTGGATGTGCCATCCCTCTTATGATTAACTTGCTGTGGCCCAATCTGGCAGGCTGTCTGCTCCTTGGGGGCTCAGTGTCTATCCTTGTGGTCCTTGGGAGGCCGGAGCAGGCCACCTCCTTGCTCCCCCGCCGAGATAGGTGCCCTCCCCATGGGCACAAATGACTGTCCCGAATTGGCATGGGCTGTGGAGGCCACGTCGCCAATGTCTTCTGTCCACCCCGGGCACACACCTGGAGCTCCTGGCCTGGTGGAGGCTCCTCTCTGCACGGAGATGACCCAGGCAGGGGCTGGCCAGGTAGGAGATGGCGATGCATGACAGGTGTGGGCCCCCGGGCACGTGGAACAGGGCGCCCCCCTCTTTCCCCATGGATTCTCTCTCTCTGCAGTTTCACCTGCCCGTGGTCAACTGTAGCCTGAAACTGTTAAATGGAGAACTCCAGAATAAACAATTCACATATTTTACATAACTTTTCTTACAGTATACAGAAACAATATAGAGTATTACAGAAACTCTCGGAGGCTGAGGCAGGAGGGTGACAAGTGTGGGATGTTGTACTGAGGTTTTGGGCACCCACTGGGGGTCTTGGGTTGATGGATCCCCACAGAGAACAGGGATGGCTGTGTACACAAATACAATGTCACTGCCTCTGCCCAGTAAACCCTCATGAAATTAAACTGCAGAGGCTGGGGTTTGGACCCTAACAGAATGGATTTGAGCCTTCATTCTAGCTTATAGTCACTTTACAACCACAGGCATTTGACTTGACTCTGATCTGATCCCACTTGTCTACCGAGCAGGGCATCAGTGCCAACTTCAAGGGTCCCGGAAGAGGGTGAGGAGGGAGCTTGTGTAAAAGGAAGGGCCAGGGGCTGAGAGGCAGGTCTTGTTCCTGACATGGTGACCACCAGCCTTGCCGTCGTGCCTAGGTCAGCTCCTCCAGGAGGCCTGCTTGGCACCTGCCACTGCTGCATGGACCCCTAGCTCCTGCACCCCGTGTGGCTCTTGTCCAGCTCAGACCATCTCATGATACTCACTTTCCTGTCCTTTGCCACCACCCGAGATGCTGACACGGAACCATCTCGCCCGAAGGCAGGCTGGGTGCTCCTTCGCCTGACGCCCCCACCCCTAGGCCGTCTGCCAGCTCCTCGGAAACTTTGAACTTGAGCACGGAGCAGGGCTGAGTGGAGCAGGTGGGGTAGCAGTGTTACTAGGCCTTGGTGCTCACTGAAGTGAGGAACTGTCCCCCAGCCCCTGGAAGGGACGGGGTGTGTTTGACAAAGATCCCTTAGTCTGTAGCAAAATATGCCTCAGTGGAGAATGTTTAGAAAGCTCCATCTAGTTAATTTTTAAAAACCTCCTAGCCAGGGGCCGTGGTGCAGGCCTGTAATCCCATCACTCTGGGAAGCTGAGGCAGGAGGATCGCGAGTTTGAGCCCAACTTGGGCAATTTAACTTAGCAAAACCCTGTCTCAAAAATAAAAAAAAGGCTGGGGATGTAGCTCAGTGTGAAGGCCTCAGGTTCAATCCCCAGTACTGCAACAACAAGAAAGCTAGAAGAAAAGAACAAACTACCCCTGTTCTCCCTGAGATGTGTCCTTCCTGTTCTTTTACTGTTGAAACGCCTCTTCGTGGTGGAAATTTCTTCGATGAAGTGGTAGCAACTGCTGATAGGAGTTGGCTTGTTTTGAGTGGCCCCACCAAAACACTGGCAACCCCCGGTCATCTGCAAAGCTGTTGTTTTCCCGTCTTATTGGTGTGGAAGCCTGAGGC